GGACCAGTAGTTCCTGAGATTAGCGCCTTCAAACAAACAAACCAACTCTTCAGCTTTATAATATTAGTATAGATAAGTTGATTGATTGTATTTCTTTCGTGTTATTTGGTAATTTATTATATAGTTGGGCTCCTTCATATAAAATACTTTTCTTTCCGTAGTTAGTTGGTGAGTGCCTTAAACATAAATTATTTTTGTCGCCGTTTCTTTTTTTTTTGTAAATGTTAACTTAGTACGTATATTTTTGTATAAGATTTTCTCGAGCTAGCTAGTTTTTACGTTTTGAATACTAAGATCTCGTTTTTTTTAGGATCGTATTAAAGGCCGTGCATCTGAATATTTCTAATTGAAATAATTGCACTCCACCAGTCTCCATTACAAGTCAGCTGTTTTAGTTTACTTATTAATTTCAACAAGCGTGAATGTTCAGTGGATATGTTAAAAAGAGACCAAGCGGTAAGGTATTAGCTTTATTCAATTGTCTTATTATAAACTATCATATAAACATTGATTCACAAAGAAAGAGTTGCTCATAAATATCCTCCACGTATATAAACATATTCAAACAGATACTAAGGGCCCGCGTCAACAACGTCCAACTTATCTAAAACCGAATTGGTATTATCGCCTTTCCTGAAGGACAATTCTCGTAATAAAAGTTCGGAACTTTCGACTCACAACTAACATAAAAGATATTCTCGTAGTGAAGTATTAAACATCGAACGTTGATTGTAATGTGATTATATCGTGTTGTGACCAAAAATTGAATCGGTAATCTGCCAGTATTAGTAATACTTTACTATTTTACTAAGAAAATACCTTTTATGAGATTTTGTGAGATCGAAGGTTGATCGAAACTGAATTGTGACCGTACTTTTGTTGCGAGAATTAGCCTTCTGTTCTTTCCTTTGATTTTACAAATGAACGCTAAGGCAGTCAAAATATTCGAAATGGCTGTAATTTTAAATAAACATGTTTTAATATCTGTGAAAATATGTGATTAAGGTCGACTCACACGACAGCGTTGTACAGGCCTGTGTAGTGCTGGGCTATGTTACGTCGTTGTGGCAACACGCAGGGGGCTGTTCGTTGTGAGCGGAGCTTAACACTCGTTACAAATAGTTAGGCGACAATGTCGCAAGCTCTTACAACATTAATCTAACAAAGAAATGGCGACAGCGCCTCAATATACATACATTGAACTACATTTAGACATTATTTACAGAGGGACGCTCTCGAGCCAACACAAGCGAATAGTCATTGGTCATACAACACGAGCTTACCGAGTGTACGCAAATCATTATTATAAAGTCATCTTGAATTGCACCCTCGCATCAACTATTTGTTCAACGTTAGTCGTCACATCACAACAATCACCTTAACAGTATTTTCTAGGTAATAGACATAAACTGAAAGATTTGTCTGCCAGTAATAGTACCAGGGAAGGGTCCACCTGTTTCGGTGATTTAACAACAACAGAACAATCAGACAGACGGAGACTTGTATAAGAATCGTGAAATTTAGACGAATTTGAACATGAATTAATTGTGATGAATTTAGTAAATACCTAGCTGTTATATTACAAACAGACACTAACTTTTTTTGTTTTTGTTTGAATTGGTAATGTATTTTTGTTAACAAAACTTCCGACTTGTAAAAATATTAGAAAAGATTTTTTTACAGCAATAAATATCATTTAAAGATATTTTATTCAAAACCTTTGTAAATATTTACGATAATTACTTGTTACATCTTTAGATTTAGCATATAATTAGCGTATATCGTAGTTCTCTTATAAAAAAATAACGATTTCAATGGCAAATTTCTAATGTCGTATTCTTTCAGACTCGAAAACATTGTTAACATTGAGAACGACTACATTCAATTGTATGTTTTCTAGTATTTGTGTATTGTTCAATTATTCTGATAATTATTACTACTAGGTACTAGAAAACAACCCGTAAATGTGAGCGATTAATGTTCGTTGAGTTACAAAAGTTGATAGGACGGTGCGATGGCTAACAATGGTGATAAAACTAACGTTACACAAAATATTACATAAACAACGCAACGAGATAAATCTGCGTAACAGTATAAAATGTCCATAGAAAAGTGAATTTATGTTTTTTTTTTTTTTCAACTTGGCAACACTTGACGCCTCTGCCTGTAGTAAGTATAGAAGACAGATATGATGTTTGTTTACGGTGCAGTGGTGGAATGTCACCGGTTCTCCGCCAAGTTGGGGACAAACAGATAAACACACACACTCGACTCACACATAATCTACTTACCCTATCAGTTTTTTGCAAAAATCCTTTTTAGTACATTAAAAAATTTTCTCTAATGTTTTTTAAAAAATATTTACAAAAATTTCTTGCCTATCCAAAGACCTCGTCTTGTTCCAATCTCAGTAATATTAAAAATGAATGTGGCCACAAACTAACTAGTCTGATGTAGATCCAAGTAAATATTTGTAAAAATTCTTGAGTTACCTACAAAATAATAATAAACACAACTACAGTAAAAGGACGTTAAATATAAAGTTATCGAGTGTAAACTACTAATTTCCGACCTTATAAACAACGTGCATAAAGTACAAAATTAGTAAAAAGTATAAAATCTCAAAACCCTCGGCCACATCCTCTTTTAATATCGTCAGGACCCCGGGGTATCTCTCGTATAACAATTTTTTATTAAAAATTCATATTATATACAAAATCTCGTAAAAGACAACGCTATACAATAGTATACTTTGGACAACATTATTAAAACAATTCGATGCGCGCACGCATTTATACAAGTTCCTCCCTTTTACAAGATTTTATACCATGTGAACTACAACAATTTACACTTAACTTAAAAAATATACCAATTCTTTATGCACATGTACACTGAGTCCCCAACATGGAAGCTACCTTCAATACGTATGTACAAGAGGGGTTATGTACAATAAACTCAGTAAAACGTCGAGTTTACCGCGCGTGTTCAGTTCACGGAGTAGCTCGCCTGTTTGGGACCTTGCATAAGTTTAAATTACAAATTGATCCTTAAAATCTCTAATGACCTTTTTCTAAAGTCGACCCCCTGTCCTGACCTCCATATTATTTGTCACATACAATAAATCAATACCCCACCTGGCCCACTGATATCGCGCGCTGAAGAGACCACCTTACTGTGATAGAGAGACATGTAATTTGTATATTTTGCTAACATCCTCATAACAATATTATTTCAACATCGAGATTGAGATAACAGCTATATTAATTGCTATAACAGGGGTTAATAATTACTGTGACAATGATACAAAGCCTACTCGAATATACTGGTCTTTTTTTCATTGAAGCTATAAAAATCTCAGGGACAAATACGCCGTGGAAACTTTCAAAAAGGCAGACGCGACTCGTATACTGAACAGTGCGATCATTTCTAACCTGAAGCATTTATTTAGACTATTGGTTTTTTTGATATTTTTCAACAATATATTGCTTTTGGTGTTCAAGCTAATTCTATAAGTTTTAGCAGACAAAAAAAGCCGATAGTGTGTAAGTTATAAAAATCTGTAGAGTAGAAATAGCTGATCAGACCTAGCTTTTCTACCATGATGATAAGCTGGAGGAGCTCTCTAAATCATTTTAAGAGTGATCGTATGCCAAGACGAGCCTAGTATTGTTGTAATTTTATGGCTGTCCACAATAGTGACGAGCCTTTTCACTGTCACAGTAGTTATATATTTGAAAGGGTCCAAAGGATAATCTACAAACACCAATAGCCAATATTCCAATGTCTCGAAACAACTAATACCATAAATACAATCGTAGACACTTAACAACATTGATTAATGAATTATATTTTAAACACTTTCTATTTAACATTGAGTGAGTTTTAAACTTGTACCTACAAATGTGTAATTCATTTTAATTGTATTTAATTTTCAATATACTGTCTACGCAGTGCGTAAATCAACCGTATGTCACGTTAATAAGCGTCAAATTTGTTTTTCTCTTGTATAAAGAAATCTCTAAGCCGGTGAGTCGTACATATTGTCTCTCTACCCTTAAGATTAGCGAATGGTCGATGATCGATGATGATTTACCCCAACCGCTCTGCCGTCAAGTACCTTGAACACTAGAATGTCTAATTGAGCAACTCGTACCCATGACCCTTTAAGTACTCTCGAAGCTTATCTTCGATTTTGAACACAGTCTGTTGTGATATATCTAGTGAATTCTTAACGTTTTGCGTGTTCATTGAAATGAGTGCAGGGTGCATGCAACTGTTCATATTAGACTGGAGTTGTAACTTCTGTGTCTGTCTAGATATAAAATTGACCTTGAATCGTATGTGCGTTGTTTGCATTTTTAATTATGTAGTTTTGTTGTCTTTGAATACTTTTATATTTAATTACTAATTGAGTATATGTTTAATTATATGATCCTGTGACCCGTAATGTTTACGTTTAGTCATCTATTTATCCAGTTTTTGTAATTTTTAGACATAAATTTGTTCATCGTAGTTATAAAATGAACTTTTACTGTTCTAGTTTTATTTATACGAACGTTTTTGCTAAACTCATTAAAGCCAATTCGTTTATTTTTAGGCCGTACACACGATTATATCTTCGGTCCGCTAACTCAATTCTTAAACCGGTAACAATTCGCGTGATCATCGCTCGCCCACCATTCGTCCTACAATATATACCCTGAAATCTGTTCAATAATAAAATCTGTGACGTCACATCTCCAGGGATGTGCCCAGATCGTCGATTATATTCAATAGAATCGTCCTCGGCCGCTCGGAACAGTCCGACTACAAACTATAAAATACACATTGTTTCAATTCGGTCCAATTCGTGTATACATTTTTAAATATGTTTTTTTTCTGTTGCGATACGTGATCAGTGTCAATTCGTTTTTCCTGAGGCTCAGTAGTGTTTCGTGTCAATATTGATGAAACGAGCGGGAAGTAATTGACCGGGAGTGGTGGTGGTGGTGGTGGCGGCGCTAGGCCGGGCAGGAGCCGCACACGTAGTCGTCGTCGGGGCGCAGCGCGGCCTTGGTGAGCCCCACGCAGTGCATGTGGAACCACTGGTCGCAGCCGCCGTCGCACTGCACCCAGTCCACCTTGCCTGCAACCACGATAAACCATTTGTTATTCATATTGTACTAGTTCGATGTAGTAGTAACAGATGAGAAAAGATGTGGTTGTTTTGATTGTAATACCTAGTCAATTTAATCAAGTTATTCAAAGGTGTTCCGTGTAATATGACCGAATATGTTAGTGGATAATGAGCGAGGTACGCGTTTATTAATTTGATCAAACGGGTTTATTTTCAACATACCTTTAAACATTCCGTTTAACTAATATTTAAGAACTTCTGTGAAATTGAATAATCTGTTGTAACATATCGAGTGCAACATTTTAAACATCTTTTATTTTAATTCTTATCGAAAGTTAGTAATGTAAACAAAAACGACTGCACGTCATTTACTAATGTGTTATAAATCTTTTTTTTATCAGTTATAAAGATTGCACGGCTGACGTAGTGGTTTAAGCGGTTACCTCGCCGCTTTCTACTGTGCCAAACCTGAGCCGCGCACTCAAAGTAAAAATGAAGCATTTGATTTTTCTAGGAAGTTGTATAATTATTAATTGTTATTTTTATTGCATTTAAAACAAACCCTATTTTCCACTTGTATTGCAATTTTCATAATTACAGATTTAGAAATAAAATAAGTTATGACAAAAAGATAACAATGATTTGAAACGGCTGCTCTGTAAAGTTCCACAAGTGAGAGGCGAGACTACTGTATGAGTATGATGCTGCGCGCGTGTACCCACCGGTGGGGCGGAGGCAGTCCTTGGCGGCGCAGTCCTCGTCGTCCTCTGCGGAGGAGGCGCTGGACGAGCTGGCGCTGGCCCGCGCCGCGCCGCTGGGGCCCGCCGCCGCCGCTGAGCGCTGCGCCGCTACGGAACACCACGTTACACGTTAGTCTACTCCCTTCACATGAACACTACGACACAATAATCGTATACAGTTGAGTTGTATGACATAATATCTCACTGTCTATTTCATTAACAGTTCGTGAAGTTTCATCTATATACATAATCATCGTTTTATTCTTTTATGAATACTCTATCAATGTAAAAAATTAAATTCGACTCATAGTTTCAGAAATTACTAGTGTTTAAACAAACAAAAGATTGACTAAATACTATTCGATTTAACTTATATTATAATATAAACTACATTGTTAAAAACAACACCTTAATATACAATGTTACTATTGCAAGTATACCAAACCTTTACGTGTACTAGGGATTTTTCTACCGCTATAACTTAATCATTCACTGTTGATTCAATATGGTCCCAACGGTCTACCGGATGTAATCCACAATACTAACTGTTTACTGGATGTAAAATCATAAATATTGAAATTATATCGACCTTACAATTTTACCATAATATAAGTGATAGATAAAATTATAGCGCAATGAATAGCGATAATCGATTCAACGCCATCTATCGACAAACATTTATAAGACAGTAAAAATTACAACTCATCTAATCGCCGTTACATCAATTAAAAATGGATAGAATACTCACATTCTGCAGTTTCTTGGTGCTACCAAATTAAAGTATATCAGTAATATCTCAAGTATTTTTCAACCTTATTTTATTTTCTACCCAACAATACCTTGCCTTCCCTTTTAACAGACACAGGTTTCCAACCGACTAGGTAGAGACTAAATAAATGTATTGCAATAACGAAGGACGATGTAGGAAAGTTACCTCGGCGCGCCTGTCGCGGGTGCTTGCCCCTGGGCGCGACGAGTCCGCGCTTGCGTCGCTCCTGGCGCGCCATGTAGTGCTTGCGCATCATCAGCCCCGGCCCCGCCGACGAGCCCGACGCGCCCTGCGACACACGTTACAGTTATAAAACTAACTAGTCAACAACTACGTTACAGGACAGGACAAATAATTGTGTGATGAGCACGATTATTTGTTCTGATCCTGGGTGTAATTTATCTATTTTAAGTATATATTTAGAAATGTATAAGTATGTTTATCAGCAGTCTGGTCTGTCAGTCTGGTTACCAAAGTACAGACTTTATTTCAGATTAATTATGCTGATATAACTAAAATATTGATTTTATTTAATATAAAATATTTTTTTGTTAAAATCATCAGTCTGATGAAGGTGGGGGCACGTGTTGCACCGTTGCAAGGTCAGTCACGTATCTCGCTCTAACGCGTTAAATATTTTCACTGCTTTGCTCTAACATACTGTTATGAACATTATTGTTATAGTTTCTGTAAATATTGTTTTGTATTTTTCAATTGTATTGTTTGTTTTAGATCTGTTTTATTTGCGTTTATTATTATTGTTGTACGCTTTATATGCGTTTCTCAAAATACCGAACCGAAACTCAATGGTACATTAAGCTTGCCTTTGTATGTGTAATTTCCTTGTCATGTATTTAATTTCATAGTGTACAATAACAAATTAAAAAAAATAGTCCGAAGTTGTCACCGAGCGTCATATGCACTTTGTTTGCCATTTTAGTATTTAAAACATACATTAATTTTCGGAAGTAATTTTTTTTTTTATATTTGGACATCTAACACACAACGCCATCTAGTTTCAAACTAAGCAGAGCTTATTCTATGAAAACTAGATTTACTGATATAATACTTATATATTTTTTTGTAAGTAAATTTTTTATTACTACTTATTTGCAGCCTGTACAACAAGGTAACAAACAGTATATAACATGTATTTGTATGCTCAGTACGTTTGTTTGCGAGTGTACTTGCGCAACATTCGCTTTGCAACCACCTTCGTTGACGTAGAGTTATTTGGCGTGTACTATAGAAAGGTTTTTCAGACCTAGGAAGGTGGTGGTGGAAGGTTTTATGACGTAGGTAACGGATATCTCAAATTCCTTTGGTTATTATTTAATTGGCAATAATTAATAGTGGAACTAGACTTTTTTTTCTTTAAGAGTGCACATACCTGTTTTCTATTGAGATAATTTGTTGTAGTTGTCGCAGCTGCGGATCGTTTTAGAGTTGGTTTTGTCGTCGGTACTGTTCCTGGAACAAAATTCAATGCGGAAACGATAAATAATAGTAGGGTTATAATAAACATTTTGAAAAAATCGCGATGTAAATAAATTGTACAACGCTATCTAGTGACGGTAATCAAAATTATATAATACAAAACTTGGATAAAAGAATGGCTTAAATTATTTTAACAGTGCTCGACAGATCGAACCCATGTAATTTTTTATTTGAGATTTACGTATATATCTCTTGTTTACAAACATCCACGAAATGGATACAAAGATCACCCAGATTCAAAACAACAAATTGTTGTTCCACGTGGGGATCGAATTCACAAAACACAGTGTCGTTGGAAGCGGCGAGGTGATCGCTTAAATCACTATGCCATCCGTGCAGTCGTATTACAATCGATAAGTCACTTTTTTCAATCGTGTCGTTATTAAAATGATCAGCTTGACAGTATCTATAGTTATTTAAAAAACGCTCTCAAGGTAAAATCAGCCTCGGACAAGGATCGATTAGAAAAGATCAAAAGTTGAAAACTAATCGGAGAGTCGGAAGCGGAACAAATGAGAATGATCAGGTGCGCACGTACCCATGTGGTGCCTGGTGCGCGTGCGCTTGAGCTGGTGCGGGTGCCTGGGCGCGCGCGAGTGGCGCTTGCGCCGGCCCGCGTCGTGCGTGCGCGCCGCGCGCCGCCCGTCCGCCGCGCGCGCCGCGCACACGCAGCTCCACACCTGCGCCTGCTCCTCCAGCCGGACCTGCGCGTGACGGGCCGCGGTTAACGCCTGCGCCTTGTTCTCTGACTTCTCCACGACTATACTCGCGTTTGCTATGCGCCGTTCTCATAAAAACTTTATGTAATATCGCCTGCTACTAGTGACCACATTTAACTGAAGACGACTCCCCCATTAGAAATATATCCTGTGTCGCGGTGGACTTTACAATCATACATGAAACGGACACAAAGAAGACTCAGAACAACAATTTGTAAATCACACAAAGTGTCGTCCCATGCGGGGATCGGACCCACAACACTCAACGTAGTAACACGCCATCCGTGCAGTCAATTTAAAGTTGCCATGCATATATCCCGTACTCCAGGATAACATTTTAAACTTAAGTATATTTTTTTACATACTACCTATAAAATTGAGGATAATAACACCAATATTTAATGTGCTAGTTGGTTTGTTTAAAGTCAACTGTATGTAAAGAAGGCAATTTTTTTTATATCAGTTAAATTTTAAACACTTCAATATTAATCATCTACCTAATGCACAAGTCTCTTGAAAATATAATAATTCTATTACGAATAGTAATTGATTTTTATATTAATTAAAACACAATCAATATGATCAGTCTTATTATTAAATCATATATTATTATTAATATAGGACTTACTTCCAATAAATCACCCTCTAACATTAATTCTTCTAATTTTTGTAATAATCCTGGAGGTATTCGCGTGCTCAGTGACCGCGGCGTGGCACTGTACGCGTGCTCCACGCTCGCTGAAGATCTACACACATACATACAAACATAAATGAGTTTTTTATGTAACAAGCTTATCTTACACGTATCGCCTAAACAAAAAAAAAACACAATGACCCTCCGGGAACGCCGACTGAAGTGAAAACTTGTTTTTTTTTTATAACAGGTTTATTTTTTTTCTTTGTCGATTCGAAAAGTTTCGACATGCATATCTATATGTATGTTGTACGTATATATACTATGTATGTTTTTATTATGTATAGCTCTATTATCAATATATTGCAACCCAAACTCAATTCTCGTGTTTGTACTCGACTATCAATATATGTAAATACTTATATACAGAGGTGTCGGTAACGGTAACAGTGCCGCGAGTTCAATGGTTTTTGACGTGACAACGTCTTATAATTCGATGGAGCCGGCTGCACGCACGAAAAAACATGACTTATGCGGCGTTACCTCGCTCTGAGGCGTTCCATTTAAGGCGTGAAGTGCAAGCGAGAGCGCGGAACGAGCGACAAAGAGGCACAATCGGCCTCCGCGTTCGGCAGCGTTCGACATCTGTCTCTCTCCTACTTGAGTGAGCGATGCGTCCGCGTGGACAGGTGCTACTCGTATACAATAATACATTTTTTAAAAATGCAACCATTCCATCAGTATTTTCGTATGACTCGTTCAACTATCGTCAGTAAACCGACTTTACAGACAACATTTTTCCCATCTTAATTTTTTTTGTTGTTTAAAAAAATCCAACGCGCCTAAAGATGTTTTCACTTCATAAAGGAAATAAACGAGTCAAGTGATCGAGAGAAAGAACGACTCACCTATGATTGTGTGACACGGTGTGGTCGTGCGCTCTGCCGGTGGCTTTCTTCAGTTCAGCGTTAAGTTTGTCGGCCTTCTCCCGGTTGGCCTGCAACGCAAAGCGGGCGGTGAGGCGGTGTCGGGGGCGGTGCGCGGGGGTGAGTGTGGGAGTGAGTGCGGGGCTCACCTGGGCCGTGTGCGAGTCGTGCGGCAGCGCGGGCAGGGCGGCGAGCGCGGGCGCGGCCAGCAGCGCGCGCGCCGCGTCCTGCCACGCCATGGCGCGCTCCGTCACGCACTGCAGCGCCTCGCCCTCCGCCAGACGCACCGGCAGCTTCTGCAGCCACACCTGCACCACGCCGGTCGTCATTACGCAGCTCATCGGAGCCTCCGCTTCGTGAGACTCACGATAACGGTAACGATCGTATCAAATATTACAGACGGACGGAACTATCTTATTCGCTTTTGCGACTACTCTGACCGACTCTTTATTGCACACCATAATTAGGATACATACAAAAAAAACACAGTGATACAATGGGCGACCTTGTCGCAGCCTGCGATCTCTTCCAGGCAACCTTTAGATGGACTATACTATATAGTAATATGTAGCGTGTGGTGCGCATTTACAACTTCCGTATATTAACTAATGTTTACATACACAATTACACATACACTGATATACATTCATACACTTACATACCTATACAAATATGAACACGTACGAGGGGTGATCAATAAGTAATGATAATCGAGTATTTCTAGAACGCACAAAAACCCAAATTATTTTTTTTCTGCTTGCTTATATATCCACTACTTCAGCTTCAAAAAAATGTATAAATAGGACACCATTACCGGGAGATACATTCATTTGAATACGAACTGTCGAAGAGAAAACATCAAAATGGAGAAAAATGAAATAAGAGCTGTCATCAAGTACCTCTGCCTGAAAAAAATGTCTACCAAAGACATACACAGCGACTTAGAGGAAACATTGGGGGAGTCTGCTCCTCCATATTCCACAGTCGCACGCTGGGCAAAGGAATTTAAGCTGGGCAGAACCTCCACTGAAGATGAACATCGCGAGGGACGCCCTTCCACGTCCCTTACTGGAGAAAACGTCAAAAAAGTGGAAGATATCGTGTTGGCCGATCGAAGGGTGACCGTAAGGCATATAGCTGAGGTCACAGGGATCTCCTATGGCAGCGTTCAAAAAATCATTGTCAACAAAATGCATATGAAAAAGGTCTCTGCGCGTTGGGTACCGAGAATGTTAACCGACTAGCAAAAAAAGAAACGAGTCGACATTTCGAGGGTGAATCTTCAAAAGTTCCAGGCCGATAAAGAATTTTTTTTGTCGCGTTTTGTGACCATGGACGAGACCTGGATCCACCACTTTGATCCCGAAACCAAACAACAATCAATGACTTCGAAACGAGCTTCCTCACCAACGCCGAAGAAATTCAAAGTGTCAAGTTCAGCGGGAAAGGTTATGGCGTCTGTTTTCTGGGATGCAGAAGGAATTATTATGGTGGAATATTTGGAAAAGGGGGTCACTATAACAGACTCTTACTACGCAGGCCAAATAAGAAGATTGCGAGAAGCTATTAAGTCAAAAAGACGCGGTAAACTGCGCGCTGGAGTGCTGTTTCACCAAGACAACGCCCCGGCTCACAAAGCCGCAGTTGCGATGGCTGCCATTGAAGAAACGGGGTTCGAACTGCTCGAACACCCTCCCTATTCGCCAGATCTAGCTCCCAGTGACTTCTACCTCTTTCCTCGGCTCAAAGAACACCTCCGGGGCAACAAATTTGAGGACAATAGTGAAGTGATGGCCGCAGTAGAGGCATTTCGGGAGGGTCAAGACAAAGAATTTTTTTCTAAGGGAATCATGGGCTTAGAAAAAAGATACACTAAATGTATTAACTTGCAAGGAGACTATGTTGAAAAATAAAATACTTTTTTTAATCTAATAGTTCTGTTTCATATTGATTATCATTACTTATTGATCACCCCTCGTACATACACATACCAATATAGAACATATTTATTACAGAGATAAATAGTGATCCTTAACGAGTTCTTTAAAAGTACCCACTGACTTTGCCTGCCTTATAGTTTCCGATAATGAATTCCTGAGGCGTGCTGCTTTCACCGTAAAAGACGTATCGGTGAAAGTGTTGGAATTTCTAAGGTCAAATTTTCCGATGATCTCAAGTATCGAGCATGTGTGTCATGAATAAATGCGAATCGCTTCTTTAAGTAGATAGAGGTTATAGAATTAAATAGAGTATTATACAGTAATGACAAGATGTGAGTATTCCAGCTTGAGAACTACTTGAGTTTTGTACGAAATTCGAAAACATGATCATATTTGCTCAAGCCGAAATTAAATCGAATACAGAAATTCTAGTCTTTATCAAATTGGTCCTCGTTCAAATGAAGATAGCTGCTTTTATTTAGCATATATAATATATAGAATATTTTCTGTTTTCCACTCACCAGTAAAGCCAGTATACGGTCGAGCCTCGGCCTCTTCGTCCTCATACAGTCGGGACACAAGAATTTAGGTTCGGTGTTAGGAAACGGCATGAACACCCGCTCGGGCGACTCGTCTCTCTCCTCCTTTGCCGACGTTATGCAGGAAGCTGCAGTTTTAAATAAAATTAATGCCTATGATGATCAATAATCATTTTTTTTGCCATTATTGTTACATAAAATGTATTTTTATTCTACGATCCAAAATCCTACACTAATAATGCTAACGTGTTGTTTAATTATTATGACTTAGATGCAAGACCATTTAAATATTATAAATTCTTTCCATATTCTATAACTCATTATATTTATCTATACTAATATTATAAAGCTGAAGAGTTTGTTTGTTTGTTTGTTTGAACGCGCTAATCTCAGGCACTACTGGTCCGATTTAAAAAATTCTTTCAGTGTTAGATAGCCCATTTATCGAGGAAGGCTATAGGCTATATATCATCACGCTAAGACCAATAGGAGCGGAGCACCAATGAAGAATGTTTCAAAAACGGAGAAAATTTATTACTATTGAGAGACGCAGACGAAGTTGCGCGGGTCAGCTAGTATATTATAAATGTAATATATTTTAATATTTGCAAAAATAATATATTAATCGTTGTGCTTTCAACTTTCTTGTACAAAATTAGGAAACTTCTTTGAAAGCATTAAAATCAGATAAAAGTGGAAATCTAAACATTATTTATATTTATTTGATTGAAAACAAGCCAAAATTTACGGCAATTACCATGAAACCAATCCTTGCAGAGCTCACACTGGGTCATGACTCCGTACTGCCGCTTCTGGCACGTGCAGAACGTCACCCCCGCGGACACGGGCGCGCGAACCTCCTTACGCAAGTTGCGTGCTCTGTAATTAACAACCACATCTATGTTTCTAGGGGGTATTATTGTTATAATTAATAAACTCCAAACTAGGTAGAGCCTGTACTATAGTAACCAGACCGCTGATAAACATACTTATATATTTCATGGCTAAATATAAATAATTATAACATTTTTTTAAAGGTTTCATTTAAGTTTACCTGAGCTCCTTGATGGCCTGCAGCTCTCGCTGCTCGGCGTGCTTGAAGGCGGCCACGATGTCCGTGGGCGTGGAGTCCTCGCTGAAGTGGCGCAGGAAGGGCCCCGCGTCGGGCCCCTCGGCGGTCGCGCGCGGAGCCCGCCGCCGGGCCCCGGCCCCCGCCCCTCCCACGTACGACTCGGTGCGGGGCGACAGCGCTTCCAGCAGCGAGTACGGCCAGTTCTGTACGGTACAAGTGTTTACACTTTTACTTTTACCCTTACTTTTTGAAGCTTTATAGACCGACATTTTATAGTCGCTTTGGAATGGCGCCAGAGACGTTTGCGAGCAATGTATTCGTGGTAATGGCACTCATTGCTCGCAAATCATTAACATCAGTCACTGAATCACACAGAGACACAGCTCCCGTGCCCATCCGCTCGTGGTCTCGCCGGCCTCAGGTACTCAGGTACTCAGGTACGGCACGGATATACCAATGCAGAGTTTAATTAATTAACCTTTTTATTACTATCAGTGCATTTCTGTTTACCTCTTGTTTCTAAAACGACTATAATGTCGATGTTCTCTTCTTCGGTTAAAGGCATGGTATGACCTTTTCTGTATCCCTGAAAACTGTATGCAAAAAAAAATCATGACGTGCAGTTTTAATTATAAACATATAAAAGCGTAGCAAAGAGACAAGCTCATTCGCATTATCATATAAATATGGTCCGGTTTCGTTCGTTCGTTTTGCACACGGCTTCGTCGATGTAAAACTATATCCGGAGATATCTGGAACAGTACATTATTTTCTGGATGAAAGATACCGCGTCTCTTTTCTTTACCTCTAACAATGTGAAAAGAAGCAACATTTAATCATAATATAACCGGTCGAATAATATTACACCGATTATACTATGGCGTAAAAGCAAACATGCAACTTTTTTTGTATTTTTATTATAAAGTGAGGACGTGAAAAGAGACCAACCAGATCACTCGTTTAAGTTTACTGACCTTTTTTAGGAACATGTCGGCGGCACCTCGTTTCCAGTCCCTCGCAGATTGTAAGGCTTGCGCCAGCTGATCCTTCTCGTACAACGCCAGGGGGATATGGGCCGCCTTCCGCACTAGGTTCTCCACGCTGTGCATGTACGGGTACAGCTCTTTGGATTGCATTTCCTCGACCTGCACGGACGGACACACCGGTACCATTTGTAGTAATTTTGTTTTTAAGCAGTATAAACAAGATCATAATTATAAACTAGGCTTCGTAGCGTTCTAGCGTTCCGGGTGAACGCACCATAATATGGTCGAAGTCGTACTCACAAATCTGTTTGCATTTATACGGCGTATCAAGTGCGAGGTGGGTGGTTACCTTGGCGAGCCAGTCGGCGGCGTGCTGCACGGCGGCGTGCAGCACGTGGTGCGAGGGCAGCGCGGCGTCGATGTCGTCGCCCTCGGCCAGCAGCACGCGCAGCTCGCCCAGCGTGCTGTACAGCGGGCCCGCGCTGGTGCTGGCCACGGTCTCCTCGCCGCCCTCCACCAGCACGCTGCGCGCGCGCGACTCCCACTCCTCCACTTGCGCTGCGCATGTCCATTAGCTTTAATCTTTCCCCATCTCCATAAAAACGTCTTATTACTTTTTAACTAACTACAACATAAACAACGCCAACGTGAGAAACTAAAGTTCGAGGCCCAAACTTATGAATTATTTACATCATCAACCTTTAATAGTCCACTGCTGGACATAGGCCTCTCCTTAGAAAAAAGGTTTTGGCCTACTGCACCACGCTGGCCAGACGGGTTGGTATAGGGTATGTGTCAAGTTTTCCTTCTTTTTGCGGTGCTGGTGACCTGCGCTGTTTAACGCCCTTAGTCGGCTCTTACGACACCCACGGGATGAATTGGGGTAGTGACATTCCGTATTCTTAATCGGTCACTACACGGTCAATGATGAATTATTTATTAAAATAAAATTTGAAAACGAAAACTTTTGCAAATTGAATTTGACGATGAAATAAAAACTTTATGAACATCTTCCATTTTTAAACTCGAACCGATAAAAAAAAATAAAAAGAAATATACTCTAAAAATGACAAATATATTTCTAAAACATGTGCACAGTGCATTATAATTACATTTACAAGATTTTTACAACAAACAGCATAAAATATATATTTTACCTTTCAACTTGTACAAGTTTGACCTCTCTAATTCTACTTTATGATGTGGGACAACGTTCGCAGCGTCCTGCAAGAGCCTCTCGATGACCTCGGGCGTGAGGGTCGAGCAGTCCTCCTTATACGAGCGCACCTCCTCGATGAACTTCACTTGTTGCAGACGAGCTTGGAGTGGAGGAAGCTGAGGTAGGACTATACAGAGCCGTGTTCCTAATTCCACCGTCTAAATGAACACAAAATTTGAGTTGACGTTGAAGACGCGTCGCCACGCTATGCGATAGTATATCATGTAACATGAAATGCGGTGTGGAGACGCGTCGCCATGCGCATGTGACTCTGCGACTCTCTCACGCCGATTATCAAACTGATTGTATACTCAATATTTCTACATAATAATTTCGATGTTGTACATCTGCAAGACATCCCACTATGGCTCATTTCTTTAAATTACTTTTCCTAACTTCATCATCAGCCTTTAACAGTCCACTGCTGGACATAAGCCTCTCCTTAGAAAGGAAGTTTTGGCCTACTATGCCACGCTGGCCAGACGGGTTGGTATAGGGTTTGTGTCAAGTTTTCCTTCTCTCTGCAGTGCTTGTGTCCTGCGTGGTATTGCGCCCTTTGTCGGCTCTTACGACACCCACGGGATGAATAGGGTTGGTGACACTCTGTATTCTTAATCCGTCACCACACGGACACCGTTCCTAACTTGTTTACTTTAAATCTAAATAATAACATAGCGAACTATGCGATGATATAATACATATTTCTGTTCACACTTGATACAAATTCTTACCTCCTCCAGTTCTCGGACGTAAGAGGGGTCCGTTTTCTCGAGATCTTTGCTTAATAATTCTGTAGCACGGGTTTCGAACTCCGACGTTTGACGTAACACTTCCTTAACGGCTGACCCTGTGAAATAACAAGGCATTTTACAGGAAAAGTTATTAAAATAATTGCGAGAGTCACAGTATAGCTTCTGGCTTTATCTATACAAATAAATAAAATTGGAGTGTCTGTTTGTAATATTAAAATAACCGATTTTTAATTAATGCATATGTATGTTTACACGCCAAAATAACATTTTTTACAATTTTTGTCTGTCTGTCTGTCAGTTTGTTCCGGGTAATCTCTGGAACGGTTGGACCGATTTCGACGGGACTTTCACTAGCAGATAGCTGATGACATAAGGAGTAACTTAGGCTACTTTTTGTATAACAACAAGCGCGGGTAACACCGCGGGTCTCAGCTAGTATCAGATAAAGTCTAACATGCCAAATGGTGGTATTGTTATCCAAAATACATGTACATACAATATTAATATATCGTTTCGTTACGATACGATTAATAGTAGGTAAAATTATCTTCCATGATTTATTTACAAAGCTAACAAACCGTTTTGCAAAAATGTGTTACATCTACATGTATTAAGAAATGTTCTCTCTTCATATCTAAGAGTGGATAAATTACTACTACAATAAATACAAACATGGCGGTTAGATACAATACCTTCTGGCAAAACGCAAGCGAGTCCATCAATCTCCTGTGCGAACAACGTCAGTTCGTGTATCGTCAGCCGATACTTGGGGTCGTGGTGGCGGGTCCGGGTCCTCATCTTATTCAGATCGAGTTGTTGAATCACTGACGCACACTTCTCTGCGTCTTCAATGGCTGTTTCTAACGCTCTGACCAACTCTGTTTTGTGCATCTAGAAATATTTATAAGTAAAAATATAATTTATTTATCTAATCTTTCTAACTTCTCAATAATTTACTCTTTACACATCAATGTCACACACACACATTGCCGCACCACCCTAAGATAGACTGGGAGAAAATACCTGTTGCATTAAGTCCGCCATTGTACAATTCGATTTGTGCACAAATACTTAAATAAAATAATAATCTTTTTTTTTATGGTTAAGGGGGCAAACGAGCAGACGGGTCACCTGATGGTAAGCAACTACCGTCGCCTGCAACTCAAATGTCACAAGTGCGTTGCAGCCCTTGGAGTCCCTCCCGCTTGAGTCAGCAGGAAAGGGGATTTGGGCTCCGGTAACCCCACTCACTCAGTGAAAGGCAACGAAACAATTGCTTAACTCAGTTTTCTGTGAGGCCGTAGTATCACTCCGGTCGAGCCGGCCCATTCGTGCCGAAGCATGGCTCTCCCATTACACTTAAATTCCATGGCTGTTTTATACAACTACCCTATTCCAATTCGAAGTTTGTGTGACATAGTGTTGCCACTAACCTTGAGATCATGTGCCCGTTTCAAATGTGCCCTTAGCCCGTCCAAGTCGCAAGTCTTAGGAGTATCCGGATCTAATGCATTTTGTACAGCTTCAGCCCATTCCCGGAATTGTTCCGATTTTTTCTTTAATTTCTCCAACATAGCTGGCAATTCGTCTAGTGTATACCGATATCTGTGACAAGGAATTTTTATGTTTAATTGATCCATAGTATTTCTAAAATGAATAGAGTGCAGTGCCAGCGGCAGGTACCTGAGCTTGTGGTGGTGAGGGCCGCAGGTGCACAGCTGCGTGTAGTGGCGCAGGCAGGCCACGTGCGGCGTGCACGAGCACGTGACGCACGACAGGAAGCACGTGGTCTTGCACAGCTGGCACTGCCGCTCGTCGTCGGGTAGCAGCTCGAACGCCTCGCGCTCCGCCTCCGTCACTCCCTGCAAGGGACACAGCACGCTATTAATAACACTAGTCGAACATCCTGACTATAAATCTTTAAATACTAAAAAATGAAATCGTTTTTTTTCTTGTACGCTTAGATCTTTCAAAGTGCGCAACTGATTTCAATCCGAATTTTGCAATTGAGAGTGATTCAAGAGGTGGGTTTATATGTTTAATACATGCATATTATTGAAGAATCATCCAAGAATGATTTAAATCGTTTTTACTACAAAAACATGTTTTTGTGAGCTTACATTACAAATGCCGGCTAAACCTTACGAGATAGATCAAAATAATGTACTACAGAATTGAATATCCTTTCTCCAAACAAAAAGTTAGATGCGTTGAACATTTAACGTAGATCAAAATTGCATTTTATAGCTAATTATTAAAATATGTCAGTAGTTAGATTTTAAATGCGGGGGCAAAGCGACCGTCGCAGCGTCGGGCTGTACGTGCGTCCTGGGTGGCAGCGGCCGGCAGGAGCGGAACGGGCCTATAAGCATTGCATATTATGATTTCTTGTAGTAGTCTTATCATAATAGTAGTATAATTAATTACTCCACACTGACACCACAGTAGTAGTATTAGTAGTATCTACATTGCACCCGTGCGAAACCGGGGCGGATCGCTAGTACTATAAATATGAAAGTAAATTTGAGTGAAATTGCTCAGCTTAAATACTTAAGAGATCATTTATAAAAAAATACTATTCTGTAGATTGACTGATAAAACTAAACATAATTTAAGATACTATAAATTATAAGATAAAGTGATATTTCTTTATGGTTAACAATGTTTTTTTTTCTTTATAAAACCAACATATTTGAGGCCTATTTATGAGGTAATAAACATGCATCAAACGAATCAGACTATTTCCGTGGAGTGTTTAATCCACGTACACCGTGTTGAAACTGGTCGTATCAGAGATAGAAGCGTGGGGTGTAACGTGGGGAGGCACTGACCCAGTCGAGCAGGCCCTTGCGCAGCTTGCGCTCGTCGTGCAGCATGGCGCGCATGTCGCGGTAGGCGGCCAGCGCCACGGTGAGGCTGAGCGCGTCCGCCTCCAGCGCCATCTTGCACACCAGCTCGTCGTGCGAGAACACGCAGTTGCGCCGCAGCGTCGAGTAGTGCAGGATGCACTCGCGCCCCATCTTTAGCTGCACCGTAAACGCACACTTACGATATATCTCAGCTAAGCACTCATCGTCGCTAGTCTGGTGATGTATAATTATAGATGGTAACTTAAACAAGTTCCATCGCGGTCCCAGTCAGGCGCAGCACTGAATAGTAGCACATAGGAAGGAGGGACATAAAGTTTTGGAGATTATTTCATTTCTATTTTTATCATCATCATCATCAACCCATAGCAGTCCACTGCTTTACATAAGCATCTCCTATTGCACGCCATTTCGATCGATTGTCGGCTTCTCGCATCCAGCACTTATTTTTATCATGCAGTATAGCAATCTTCTAAATAATTATTTAAAAGAATCTGTTCCATTTTTTATACTAGAATGTCTTAAAACAAACAGATTCTTTAAGTATACAACATCCATAAAACAGAAAACAAACACTCATGCATGCTTTCTTGTGTCTGTTTTAATTGTATTAAACTCAAAAATAGTGATTCTATAAACTAATATGTATATATATGTGACTAAAGAGGGATGGTAACCAAAGCTTACCCAGTCGGCTGGTGTAAAGTTGACTGCCTCCGCAAAGTTGTACCCTTGGTTGAAGCCTGCGTGGTAGGCACGAGGGAATGTGATCACGAATTCGCCAGCGTGCTGGTCCATCCTAAACAAAGTACCATCACATAAATGAACTATATAAACACAAGGACGGCTTACCGATTATAGTGCAGTAGGTATGTATATATCTATACAACACCCATCTCCATTTAGTAAAAATAAGCAGAACTACTTTCGAACTAATTAAATCTGCATCACAATACGAAAGTTTTCAATATCAATTTATACAATTTGAGCGTCCGAGACTAGTCTCGAGGTCCGCGTCTACTATAAGAGGAAGTCATTGGGATAGAAATTTGTAAAACTTTACCTCAAACATGGCAATATCAATAAATATGATTGGCAATATTTTTTTATTTATTTATTTTCTTTAAAAAGACAACTCCCGCACTAGGAATAAATCCTGTGTCGCGGGCGACTTTACAAACATACATGAAACGGACACAAAGTACACCCAGACTCAGAACAACAATTTGTGGATCACACAAAGTGTTGTCCCATGTGGGGATCGAACCCACAACACTAAGCGTAGAAGGAAGCGGCGAGGAGACCGCTTAAACCACTACGCCATACGTGCAGCAATTTAAGAAAAATGATATATTAAATCGAGCCATACAAAAAATAAAGTAAATAACGACATCATGTCAAAAAGTCACACACCTATACACTGGTACTCCAGCTTTCATGAGTATATTAGGATTCATGATGGTGACGAGCTGATGGAGGAGGTCAGGCTGCAGCTGGAACAGCTCAGGTGCTTCCGCTTTCATCACCGCTTCGAACTGCTCCGCTTTTGAGCTGGGTACGCCATACCTGCATTACATGACAAAACATTTTATGACAAATCTTAAGTTATTGATTGTTTTAAATAGCAACTAGCTTTATTGGACAAAATGAATCGTCTACTCCTCGACTAGTAAGCATTAACCTTGCGACAGGTCGCTTGACACCTTGGTAGAGCCCCTGTGGAGTCCAAAGCTATTATATTACTACGGAATATAATTTCTATAATCCTTGTTCTACAAGTAGGAACCAATAAACTTACCAAGTCTTAGGCTCTCCCCAATGTAGGTAGTTGATAGAATAACTCCAGTGATCTTCATTGTGCCAGCAGAATGTCGCGAAACACATGCCCACGTACAGCCAGGGGATCTGACAATAATAAACACAGAGTAAGACAACCAGCATTCATCATCTCTAAAAGCGTGTTGTCTACCCTCAGATATGATATCATTAAACGATAATTTTAAAGGAACTTTTAAAAAGAAACTATTGTTGTTAAGCTTAGATATATTTTATATATAAGGACCTTTGTTTGTTTTATGTTGTAGATTTTTTAAGTAGTTATCTGTAAGAAAGTGTCTGTTCAAGTCTTTCTTTTTTCTCTTCTTTTTTAAGTTAGGGGAAGCCTTACGCTCCCAACTCTCTGTTATTACTATGCTTTCCGTGGCAACCTGTAATTAAGGCAGCACTAATGGATGTATATCACTGTCATTGTATCTCTTGCTTTTAAGGTGTATGTTCTTGTTGGTTGTCCAAATAAATAAATAATTGGTATGTATGTGCGCCTAACTAACAATAATAACGACCTATTGGTGCATTAGAGAATTCCATAGCACGTCACTGTCGCAAGATCACCATATATGAAGTGCCTGTTGGTCTAGTGGTTAGTGACCCTGACTGCTAAACTGGAGGTCGTGGGTTCGATTCCCACCCAGGATAAATATTGTGTGACGAGCACGGTCATTTGTTCTGTGTCTGGGTGTAATTTATCTATAATATGTATGTATTTAAAAATTTATAAGTATGTTTATCAGCAGTCTGGTTACCTTAGTACAGGTTCTGCCTAGTTTGAGATCAGACGGCCGTGTGTGAGACGTGTGAGGTGGTGTATAAATATGTCTATTTATATATACAAACCGCAGACGGTTTGGCACCGCATAGAAAATGCACAATCATAAATGTATTTTACAATTTAGATATCAGATCAAGAAGTATTTATTCAAAAATAACTATTAAAAGTTTTAAACATTACACGTGTTACTTTCGCATGCATTTATGTGTGCGTAATCATTATCAACAGCAATATTGTAAAATAGATAATATTACGTTTATCGAAATATAAAAATGACGTAACGATAAAATAAGTTATCAGCTGAGAGAATACTTTTGTTGATATAATAAGGTTTAACATTAATTGGTCGAGTATGAACGTCGAGTAAGAACGAGTAAAACGAGTGGTCTAATTGTCCACCATATGGTGGACAATTAGACCACTCGTTTTACGTTTGGAAAATGCCCTTGGGCCGTCACCCCTGGGGTTTGCGGAGGGGCAGTATGCCAGAATGGAGCTGACTAAAATCACACAGACCACTCTGCGCTTGAAACACGAGGGATCCGGAAAAAAATGGTTACGCGACATCCAATCCCCTCATAGCGCCCGTCCGTAATAGCGCTGGCACCACTTTTGAGTAAAACTCTCAATTTAGGCGACTTGGGTGGCTGGCCATTATGGGGGGTGGAGGGGAAACTACATCATAGTGGACAACACAACAACGTAACATAACCTACCTTCATCCCTGATATATCCGCGTTGATATGACCCAGCACGGAGCCTTCTAGCACAGGAAGGTTGTTGAGATTCCAGCTCGACTCCGCGTACTGTTGCTCACCGGGGTATAGGTGTGCGCTTGTTTTGGTCGGGAAACCTGGGAAAGGATGCATATAACCAATGTCAATATAAAATACTAACGTTGGGCAAAGTAAGGTCAATGTAAAAGGCATTCTCTTCTGTCAGGCCATTTGACTCCATTTTACTCTCTATTTACTTGATAAAACCAAGAAAATAGAGAAAGTGGAGCCTGGATTCCAGAAACTAGAATCATTTACGTATTTTGTAATTTTTTTAGTATTCTCTATAATAATGTTACCAGAGCCATGGTCCATGGAGTGCAGGTCTGCGCCATATTCTACGGTGACATCCTCGTCGATGGAAGATACGACGCGCCAGAATTCTTTCTCCACTGTCGATGTCGGAACCATCTGTGTAACAAATAATAAATTAAATTAGTGTTGTTACCAAAATGACAACTAAAGTAATATTTCTTTTCTTAGTTATGATTAAATGAAAATATAAATTTAGATGGGGGTCAAAACCAATATGATATAATTTGAAGAGGTAAAAATTAAAATGGTACAAGGGTTTATATAATTTTATTCCTACATATAACATTTGAGAATGTTTGATCTTTTTATTTAAAAAGTCAACTTACGAATTAGGAATATATCCTGTGTCGCGGGGGACTTTACAAACATACATGAAACGGACACAAAGAACACCCAGATTCGGAACAACCATTTGTGGATCACACAAAGTGTCGTCCTATGTGGGGATCGGACCCACAACACTCGGCGTAGTAGTAAGCGGCGTGGCGACCGCTTAAACCACTACGCCATCCGTGCAGTCAATCTTCAATGTGCGATCAATGCTAGTCCACTGACAAGGCATCCATAATTAAGGACGTACAGTTTACTCATGTATATATTCCGGGTATATTTAAATCGGCTACACGTTAATGAAATTACCCATCTTCAATAAATATTAAAGCTATTATCAAATCTATACTAATATTATAAAGCTGAAGAGTTTGTTTGTTTGTTTGTTTGTTTGTTTGTTTGAACGCGCTAATCTCAGGAACTACTGGTCCGATTTGAAAAATTCTTTCAGTGTTAGATAGCCCATTTATCGAGGAAGGCTATAGGCTATATATCATCACGCTAAGAGCAATAGGAGCGGAGCACCAGTGAAGAATGTTTCAAAAACGGAGAAAATTTATTACTATTGAGAGACGCAGACGAAGTTGCGCAGGTCAGCTAGTATACGAATAAAGCAACAAGAATATTCTACTTACGTGTACTGGCATGTTGAAATAATCAGATTTGAATTGGTCGGCCATCTCTCCGAACTGTTGTAGCGTGTACTCACGGGAGGCCTGCTCGAAACCGAACGCTTCTGTCGGCTTTGATACCTTAATAATTAAAAGAAATATTACAGGCGAATTAGAAATAGACGAAAATTGACGAGTATTTAAATATTGTATTGCTCTGTGAGATATTATTCTGTCTCACACTGTACCATAGATATGATAAATGATCGAAAGTAACAGAATTATAAACTTAATGTCGTGTCGTAAGAGACAAAAGTTAAGTCCTAGAAGGAGAACGAAGGAGTGTAGGGGGTGTGTTGTCTGTACCTCCTCGACTAAGCAGACGGGGCAGCGCCAGTCGCCCTTGGGCACGTCGGCGAGCGGCGGCACGAGGCAGAACGTATGATACGAGTCGTCGCACCCGTCGCACAGCAGCATCTGCTCCTCCACGTCGCCCCGTCCGCACACGTGGCACATGTATTTTGCCAGCTGTACGCATTCATATTTTACATGGTATTAGGATTACAATCTATACAAATATTATAAAGCTGAACAGTTTGTTTGTTTGAACGCGCTAATCTCAGGAACTACTGGTCCGATTTGAAAAAATATTTCAGTGTTAGATAGCCCATTTATCGAGGAAGGCTATAGGCTATATATCATCACGCTAAGACCAATAGGAGCGGAGCACCAATGAAAAATGTTTCTTCAAAAATGGAGAAAATTTATTACTATTGAGAGACGCAGACGAAGTTGCGCGGGTCAGCTAGTCACATAATAAGGGTGGTATAGGAAATAGTGATGAAGCGGTACGTACCGGGTCGTCGGGGTGCGGCGCGAGTTCGTTGGGCGGCGCGGGCGTGACGGACACGGTCATGTTGGACATGCGGTGCTCGCGCAGGCGCGCCGAGCGCGTCACGCGAGCGCGCGCCCCGCAGCTGCCGCCGGCCGACATCCACTTGTTCTCGCGGGGACCTGCGGCGACCGAATATATCTTAGCGGCGTCCTGCCCGACCTATCACTTTCTTTTTGATCTTATCAATTTATTTTAATTAAGTATTAAAAAAACGAGCGTGCTTTAGACCACACGACTGAAGTAAAAAATCTTTAGCTCCATCTATATGTATGGATATATATATAATATGTGTAATATATACATATAGGCCTGCACTGTGTCTTAGAAATGCGAACCGTAACTGGCTATGAGAGAAAGAGAGGAAGAAAACGTGTGCTCGCACCTCTCTCTGACCCCTACAGTAATATACGAAACGCAACTCTCTTTCTTTATATCTTCACTAACGCCCGATCACACTTTTCGTAACGCTTTCGTCACGCATTCACCAGCTTACTCCCCAAGTCGAGCGTGCGTAAAGAAGTTTTACTTCAAAACACTGAAATCCTAAAAAATTACTACAACTCAGTAGCACCACTAATAAATTGACAGTGTTACACACAATTATGTCATGACAGTATGACAGTTATGTAAATGAGTTCAACAGTTTAGTAGCAGTTCATGGACGGGCCTGTTGGTCTAGTGGTTGGCGACTTGACTGCTAAACTGGAGGTCATGGGTTCGATTCCCATCATTGTTCTGTGTCTGGGTGTAATTTATCTATATTATGTATGTGTTTAGAAATATATGAGTATGTTTATCAGCAGATTGGTTACCATGGTACAGGCTCAGCCTAATTTGGGAATAGACTGCTGTGTGTGAGATGTGTGCTATTTTTGTTATTATTATACAGAAGACATACAGATGTATCCCCATATCTTAAATATGTCAATCACAGTTATAACAAAAGAAGTAGTTTTACTATAAAACATTGATATAAATACCATAACATGAGGAGCTTAAACACCCTTTCAATGTGAACTATTGATTTTATTACTTCAAGCTAATTTGTACTTTATTGCATAGCAACAGAAGTCGCTGTTTAATTGACTTAAATGAGTATATTGCTCTGTGATATTATAACCAATGTAAGTTCATTTATGCACAGATTTATTTATATATATATTTAGGAATCCTTTAACAAAAGCTATAAACATTGCATTGTTAAAAGTTTCACGATATGAAAACAGCTCAAGCATTTAATAAATCTACTGTCATGTAATTGATAAGCTAATCTAATAATATAATTATAGAAATCAACAATTTTCTGGGTATTCTATTTGTTACTTTAAATCTCCCTCATTTGTTACCAATTTGGAAAATTATGATTATTTTTAAGAACAAACTTACACCACTGGGGAGGGTGGACAATTAATCAATGAAAAATACTATTTATTCATCATGCTGGAGCGCATTGAAGTCGATGAAACTTACTATTTATTGATGATTACTAGATCATAATACTATTTATTTCCCCTGTACATAGAATCCCCGTACGTGTGGTGACGGATTAAGGATACAGATTGTCACCACCCCTATTCATCCCGTGGGTGTTGTAAGAGTCAACTAAGGGAAAAAAACTATGCAGAAAAACAACACTGCAGAGAGAAGGAAAACTTGACACAAACCCAATACCAACCCGTCTGGCCAGCGTGGTATAGTAGGCCAAAACCTCCTTTCTAAGGAGAGGCTTATGTCCAGCAGTGGACTATTAAAGGCTGTTGATGATGATTGATGTACATAGAAAATAAATAACTACAGACGGCTTAGTGAGGCTTTATTTCACATCAACTTGATCTTACAGGGATAATAAAACAGTGACTTACTGCGTCGGGTCTCAGTGGCAGCGTCATCCTTGACGGGTGTAGCGGCGGACTCGAGAGGAGCGGGAGCAGGCGCGGAGGCGGGAGCGGTAGCGAGCGCGGCCTTTTCAGGCGTGGCATCGGGCGCGTCCGGCTCCAGCTTGAAGCGCCGGGGCGCGGGAGGCGGGGTGGCCGCGCACTTACTGCTCGACCGCGACCGCGTGCTGCACGCCTTCTCCGGCGTCTGCTCTGTCTTTACTTCGATTTTCTGTTAATCAAAATCACTTCATCAGTGAAAAAAACTAGTTTTTTTAAGTATATAATATACCTCTTTATAATCCAAAGAGGGAAAATAATATAAATTGCAATGTAGCAATTTCTTACAGACAACCATTTAGTTTATAAAACATTTATGTGGATGACGTTTTCAGTAAAAAAAAATAAACTGTTTATTGAAACCAAGTAAGCGCTTTCTATTATAAAATCTGCTATATTTCTCATATATTTCGCTAAATTTCTCAAATCATATTTTATGCTATTAAACTGATTGTCAAACGTGTGTTACGTTTCAAACAAGTGTTGTGTTCGAACATCCTCGACATAAGGAAAACGGCGTTTATTTCGTTTCTAAGGAGAGGCCTATATCCAGCAGTGGACTATTAAAGGAAGCCATGATAACGATGATACTCTACATAAACTACTTTCCCTACAGGGAGCCTTTCCGAACGGTGAATCGAATGATTGCGAATGCGGAAGGCAACGGTTCTTTTATAAATATGTATACCACTTAAGAAAGTATTTATTTCGTTATTTACACATTAATAATAATAACCTTACACTCCTCACACAAGGCAATCTGATCCCAAACTAGGCAGAGCCTGTGGTATGGTAACCAGACTGCTGATAAACATTCTTATATTTTACTAAATAAAATTATCAAAACAGTTGGTATTTCATAAAGCCCCTATCTTTTATTACAGCTCTCCATATGTGTAACTACCTCTTCCTTTCTCTGCATCGCCCAATCGATCGACTGGCAAAGAATGCCTTAGGCATTAACTCCGCCGATGGATATAATTATTTGTGCATAAAGTTATAAAATAAATACATAAATATTTTAGATAAATTACATACAGAAAAAAAAAAGATCGTGGCTATCACATAATATTTTTCCTGGGTGGGAATCGAACCCACGACCTCGAGTTTAGCAGTAAGGACCATTAGACACTAGACATCAAATATTCTACCACATTCACACAATTCCATCTAGTCCCAAACTAAGCAAAGCTTGTACTATGGCTACTAGACAACTGATATAAATACATTTATGTTTTTTTTTGTAAATACATACTGATTATACATAGAAACACTCGGACCAAAACAAACATTAAATGTTCATGCACACAAATGTTTGACTTCAGCATTAATCGAACCCCCGACCTTTAGAACAGCAGTCCGTTACACAAACCACTACGGCATTCGGTCGTCAAATGAACTATACTTTCGATGTCAATGAACACTTACAGTCTCCTTGTTATCTCCGACGGCGCCATTGTTCTTGAACACATCGTACCGGTACAGGATCTTTTCGTAGTGGTTCTTGAGTATGGAGCCGATACCCTTGCCCTGGGGGAAGCCCATCCGGCGCGCGATCTTCGACCACTTGCGCTCCGACGAACATACTTCGAACCCACCTGTTGAATTTTGAATACGATATTATCTCGGGAACTGCTGGTTCGAATTTAAACATTATTTCAATGATGAATAGCCCATTTATGGGAGAAGGCTATATGGTATATAACATACATTACGTTACTACTAATAAGAACCAATCATCAATCAAGGAAGTTGCAAAATCTGGGAGAGACATTCAGAGAAAGTTGCGCGGGTCAGTTAGTATTCTATATCCCAGAACCTTTCAACCATTATGGCGCAATTAAGATTACTACCAACATACACTACCTATTGGTTGTAAGGACAGCAACATAACTTTTTATGGCGCTCTAGTTTAAACTTTAATAAGTAGTAAGTTTGAACCCGGCGCAAACCATTAAGACTGTGCTAATTTACCTAGCTCGTGAGGTTTATGACTAACTATTATGTGAATATATAATTACTGAGAAACAGAAGACGGCCCAGTTCCTCGTCTTTCTATGTAAGTTAAAGTTGGGCCTGCTTAATCTATACTAATATTATAAAGCTGAAGAGTTTGTTTGTTTGTTTGTTTGAACGCGCTAATCTCAGGAACTACTGGTCCGATTTGAAAAATTCTTTCAGTGTTAGATAGCCCATTTATCGAGGAAGGCTATAGGCTATATATCATCACGCTAAGACCAATAGGAGCGGAGCACCAATGAAGAATGTTGCAAAAACGGAGAAAATTTATTACTATTGAGAGACGCAGACGAAGTTGCGCGGGTCAGCTAGTGAAAAATATACTGTCATGTAAATTCTTAGATATTTAAAATGTATTAAAAAGAACATTTTAAAACGTAACAAAACATGGACAAAAACACTCGAAGTACAAAAGTCGCCGTGACTTCAATATTAGACGGTCGTAAGCTTGTTCACCACCTGACGAGCCAAAAAACTAGTCAATCTTATTTTAATCATAACAGGTAAATTAAACTGCTAAGAACGTACTAACGTTTATATGTCGATACTAACCTGCTTCTTTAACAATCTTATGCAAAGCATACAGATCAAGATGTTTTCGTTCCACCGTTGGAATCTTGAGAACGGAGCCCTGAAGTTCCCAGAACTTGATGATCTGATCTAGAAAGTTGAGTTTGACCCGAGTGATAGCCTGAAACAGATTGGATTACATTAAATTACACCCTAGTTTACTTCGTTTTGAGGCATTGAGGTAGGGATTACTTGGTCCAACCTAACTGGATTCTTTTGGGGATCTGTTTCTCGAAATTGTTGTTTCTACTAAGCTGGATAACTACTGGATAACCACAGCTGACGAAATGTTCTTAAACAACTTCCAGCTTTTGAGTCTGACATATTCATTGAAGGCATACGAGTAGACATATTGTCGAAGTTCATACCGAGACCTGGTACCAAGAGGATCATCATCAACAGCCTTTAATAGTCCACTGCTGGACATAAGCCTCTCCTGAGAAAGGAGGATTTGGCCTACTATACCACGCTGGCCAGACGGGTTGGTAAAGGGATTGTGTCAAGTTTTCCTTCTCTGTGCAGTGCTATTGTCCTGCTTAGTTTTTTCCCTTAGTCGGCTCTTACGACACCCACGGGATGAATAGGGGTGGTGACACTCTGTATTCTTAATCCGTCACCACACGGACCCAGAGGATGTCATCGCCATTTAGAAAGAACGAGATATGATCCACGTTAATATTTATTCATATGTAGACATATTTAAGCACGTTGGTAAAGTTAGGGATATAACTTCCGACTGTACAACTCCATGCTGCAAGCTTGTTTGATTTGTCAACTTATCTTGAGCTGGACAGAAAATGATTGTATTTTTCAGTGTTTTGTACACTCTGTCGTTTAGTATCAAGGTGATGTACAGTACTTTTCAAACGTGGTTTGATCTGACACCCAAGTGCGAGTTAATTTCACATCTCGATGTCACCGTGACCGCGTACGGCGCTGCGATTGGCCCACACTCAAATCTGCACCAATAGCAACACCGAACGCGCTCGCTATCGAGAGAGAGTTGGTGTGTAATAAACTTGCACTCGGCCTTCTGGTCGCTGGAATCAGTCGAGTTAGATCAGGATACATTTTGTGACCTACAAATATGGCTCAGGAGTTTAATAAATGGAATGAATTAATAGTTCTTCAATAAGGCCGTTATAAGGCAATAATGTGGACGCCAAGTATTAGGACATGAAAACTGAATTCAAAACTTCCGATATTTTTTCTAAAGGCTTACTTCACGTGGTCTCCCTATTAAAATATATGTTTACGTTAAAAGTTGACAGAAATATTAACATTCGCGACCATAAGTATAACAAATGCATACATTAAGTACAGTGAGCTTGAAACTACAGGTTTGTTTGATCATAAAGATAAGCAGTAAAAAGTAAACGATGCGTGGTAGGTATAAAAGCGCTATAAAATGTGCCTTTACTTTTCAAAAGCACCCAATGTATGTGATTAAAATGATTCTTATCCATATAATGTTATGGTACGGATTTATATAAATCACAAGGTCATCATGGAAAACCAGGTCGCAAAGCTTATTTCCGTACACACATTTGTTTTTTAATTGAGTATACAACAATAATCTTCGATATTTGTGATGTGCTTGATTATTGGATTTATTAATTAAGGCAACGAAATAATAATGTTTCAGCAGATATGTATGGAGGGTAAGCTCCTTTCCATTTTCAATAGATTAAATTGTTCTGTAATATTAGGCGCATAGCAGTGTTTATCCAGATTGGGAGCCGTCATCAGCATCCTATACTCAAATGGATTGCTCTGCAACAGCGCAGCAGCACTGACCTCGTAACAGCTACTTACATTAGACAGTTATTCTTCATTTCGTTCCACGCGATAGGGAGAGCAATAGTCATGTATTTTCCAATAATAATAATAATATTTTACCACATTCACACAACGCCATCTTATCCCAAACTAAGCAGAGCTTGTACTATGGGTACTAGATAACTTATATCTTATATATAAAATTCTCGTGTCACAATGTTCGTGCCCGTACTCCTCCGAAACGGCTTGACCGATTCTCATGAAATTTTGTGTGCATATCGGGTAGGTCTGAGAATCGGCCAACATCTATTTTTCATACCCCTAAATGGTAAGGGTGGCCCATCCCTATTTTTTTTTTGTTTTGCAATACAACGTTTGCCGGGTCAGCTAGTAAATACATATATACTTTTTTTCGTAAATACATAAATATTATACATAGAAACACCCAGACCAAATCAAACATTAAATGTTCATGCACACAAATATTTGACTTGAGCGGGAATCGAACCCGCGACCTTTGGAATAGCAGTCCGTTACACAAACTACTACGCCATCTGGTCCTCAATGGAAGATACACATGACGCTAAAGTATACAAAACGACTCTAAGAGTGCATAAGAGATATAACGAGAATTAGTAACATGAGAAATTTACCTCTAACTCGTTCAATCTCTGAATCCTCGGTGTGAATCGCAGGCGATCCACGTCTACTGCAAACGGTGGTTGCCAATGCTGTAACAAAAATTATTTCACATTATCATCACATCAACAGCCTTTAACAGTCCACTGAACCTTAGAAAGGGGGTTTTGGCCACGGTACGGCCAGACGGGTTAGTATAGGGTTTGTGTCGAGTTTCCATCTCTTTGCAGTGCTGTTGCCTACTTCCTGCTGCTGCGTAATTTGCTCTTACGACACCCATGGGATGAAAAGAAGTACTGACACTCCATACAGTTCACATCACACATCATCATCAACAGCCTTTACTAGTCCACTGCTGGACATAGGCCTCTCCTTAGGAAGGAGGTTTTGGCCTACTATACCACGGTGGCCAAACGGGTTGTTATAGGGTTCGGGGTGCGGGCTAGAAAACCTCCTCGTGGTGCACCCTGGAAACGCTGGCGATGGTACTGTTCCCTCCTTGTCCTCTTGGAGGAGAGGATTATCGCCAGCGGCCAATATTCTAGCAGAAGAGGCAGCCGTTCATCGGCTCTCGGGCAAGGCCTGGTCCAGCAGGGTGGGCGTGTCTGCCGGTTGCCCTGCTGGCTCTTCGCTCTTCGGAGCATGGAGGAGGAAACCTCGGTAAAAAACCTGATGGCGGGGCCCTTTAGGGGCCACAGTTTCTCCGCTGACAGCGGTGGAGAAAGGAGGACGGGCTCGGCGTGTACTCACACTACCACCGAGCAGGCAGGGGGACGTAGTCTCCCCGTCAACCGTCGGCATATCGCAATCCCGAGAAGAGCGCTGTGGTTAAGTCTCGCGGCTCTGATCGGGGGCGAGGGTCTTGGCTTAACCGCCCGGACCGCGAGGAAGATAACCTCTCTAAAAAATTCCCCGAATCCCGTGTTCTGGTGCGTGGCCAGGGGATGCATGGCTGATGGGAAGTTCAGTCGCGAGCGCACTCCAAGCCGAGGTACCTGCGGACCCCTCGGTTGGGTTAAAAACTTACGCTTGCCCGGGTAATGGGGGATCTCTGCCCGGGTGGACCTTTATTTCTCCCCCACTCGTGGGATCAATTATGCAGTCATTAAATAAAAATACGAAGAAACGATCGGAAACAAACACAAACCAGACAAAGGCAAGCAAAACGGACGCTGAAACAAAAGGTGCAAGGGAGAAGAGGAACAGTGGAGTCGATGGGTCGTCCACTGAGGGTGAGGTGGCGTCGGGAACGCCCATCTCGATGGGGCTCCCAGAAGTCAGTCTGACTCTGATCTCTGGGAGCCGAAGAGCATCGGATCGGCTGCGTTCCGGATCCGCCGCTTCGTCGGATGGCGCGGAGGCCATGGAGGCGGAACGAAGCGACAGCCGGAAACGCGGACGCTCCAGGGACGAGGAAACGGATACGTCCCAGGAGATGATGCCACCAAAGGTGGCAAGCAGCCGCCGAGGGAGGGCGCGCAAACCGGCCTCGGCCCCGGTCTTAACCCCGTCAGGCTCCGCGTTCTCAAACGCGGAGTCCTACAGAAGTGTACGGGTGGACGGCGAGGCCGTAGCGGAGGAGGAGATCGCGGATCTCCTGCTCAAGGTTCGGGAGCCGGTGGGGGGAAATGCCCCCCAGGCTCCCGTGTCCGTGCAGGAGAGGGCGAAAGCGGCGGTGGCCGTCATCAACAAGGTGGCCACCAAATCCGTGAACCTTAAGGGCTCGTTTGTGAGGGCCCTTAAGGACTCCTCCTCCGCTTTGTCGGAGGTCGTGGAGGGCCTAGCGGGCGACGTCTCTCGCCTGCAGGTGGCCAACGAGAAGCTGACGGAGCGGGTGAACGAGCTGAGCGCTCAGTTCGCCCGCTTCCAGGCGAACCTCCCCGAGCGGGAAGCCCCGTCCGCGTCCCAGCCTGCCCCTACCACCAACTCAGGGGCATTTGACTCCCAACTGCGAGAAATCCTCATCGCAGTTGGGAATATGCTGGACGGACGCCTGGCTGGCCTGGAGGCGAGATTGCCTCCTGCGCCGATTATGCGCCCCCCGCTCGCGTCGGCACAGCGGCCTAAGGCCGCCGCTCCGACCGCGCTCCCCGTTGTGGGAGGCCGCGTTTCTTACGCGGCGGCGGCGTCTGCCCCTACTCCATCGGCTCCACAAAAGCCGAGGAGGGGGGCCAAGGCACCGGCCCAGGCGCCGGCCCAGGCGCCGGCCAAGGCACCGGCTAAGGCGCCGGCCAGGGCGCATCCCCAGGCGCCGGCCAAGACGGGGCCTAGAACAGCGCCGAGGAGCGGAGTGGCATTCCCTCCGCTCCCCACTCCGACACCCCTGCCGGGCCCCTCCGCACCTGCCCCCCTCCAACGAGGGCTGGCAGGAGGCGAGGGGCTCCAAGAAGTCCCGAAGGCGGGCCAAAAAGGCTGCCAAAAAAGCAGCCCAAGCCCAGCCTTCGCCACCGGTGGCAACGGCCTCCACAAAGAGGCCGCGGAAGCTGCAGCCGCCCAAAACCGCGGCTGTAGTGGTGACCGTGTCCCCGGAGGCGGCGGACGGCGGGCTGTCCTACGCGGCCGTTTTCAAAAAGGCCCGGGACAGCCTCGCCAACGATTTTGGAACGGTGGGGGTCAGGATGCGCCTCGCCCAGACGGGAGCTCGAGTCCTCGAGTTCCCTGGGGCTGAAGGCGCAAAGACGGCGGACACATTTGCCGAGAAGCTGCGGGGACTCTTTACAGCCACGGATGGTGTAAAGATCGCCAGGCCTACTAAGTGCGCAGAGCTGCGCATCTCGGGCCTGGACGACTCTGTGACGGCCGAAGATGTCCGCGCTGTAATCCGGGAGAAGACGGGGTGCAGCGCGGACAACGTCAGGGTCGGCACCATCCGCCCCGGTCCAGGAGGGCTTGGCGCCGTGTGGGTCAGCTGTCCCGTAGCGTCGGCCAAAGTATTGGCCGACGCCGGCAGGCTGCTCATCGGTTTCGTGAGCGCCAGGATCACAGTCCTGGCGGCGAGACCGATGAGGTGTTTCAAATGCCTGGCCGCGGGACACACGCGCGTCAAGTGTGACAGTTGTTTTGACTGCGGCGGACTGTGTTTCCGCTGCGGTCAACCGGGGCATAAGGCGGCAGAATGCTCTGCCGCCCCTCACTGCCCAGTGTGTGCGGCGGGCAATAAGCCCGCCAATCACCAGATGGGGCAGAGAGGCTGCAAGCCTCCCCGCAGTTCTCGGCAGACGTCGGGGGTTAGCCAGTCGACCCAGGCTGCCTCCGATATAGTTCGTGCGTCGACGTCGTCGCCCATGGAGGAGGTTGTAGAGACGATCCAGTAATGGATCAAGTCTCCAACCTCCTGGTCCAGACGAACCTGAACCACTGTGCCGCGGCGCAGGATCTCTTCCTGCAAACCATGGCACAGTGGTCGATAGGTGTTGCCGTAGTCGCGGAGCCCTATTCTGTCCCTCCCCGTCCAAACTGGATGGGTGACTGGGACGGCTCCGTGGCAGTCGTCGGTTCCACGACGGCTCATTCCCCGCCCTTGTCGCTAAGAGACAAGGGCACTGGATATGTTGCCGTCGAGTGGGGGGGGATCACCATATATGGTGTCTATTTCTCCCCCAACCGGAGTTTGAACGACTTCGAGGTTTTCCTAATCAGCTTGGAGACCTCGATACGGCGACTAGCGTCTGGGCACGTCCTTGTGCTGGGGGACTTCAACGCAAAGTCCATTGCGTGGGGTTCCCCCAGGACGGACGCCAGGGGCGAGGCCGTAGAGGAGTGGGCGGCCTCGGTGGGCCTCTGTCTTCTAAACAGAGGCTCCACCAACACGTGCGTGCGACAGCAGGGGGGGTCGATAGTGGACCTCTCGTTCGCTACCCCTGCCCTCGCCGCACGAGTAAGGAACTGGCGTGTCCTGGAAGAGGTTGAGACGCTCTCGGATCACCTGTATATCCGATTTGAGCTCTCCCGGACCCAGGACTCCAGTAGGGGTCACGTGGCGCGGCGTTTATCCCGCTTTCCGCGGTGGGCTGTTGCCAGGCTGAACCGGGACCTACTAGAGGAGGCAGCCATAATTCACTCGTGGCTGTCTCCTCAGGCTCCGACCGAGGAGGTCGACGTGGGGGCTGGCCGCTTTCGCGATGCGATTACGCATGTATGCGATGCGGCCATGCCCCGCGTTCGAGGTCGTCGGCCTCCAAGGAAGGAGGTCTACTGGTGGTCCCAGGAGCTGGCGGACCTCCGTGCGGCCTGTACACGTGCCCGGAGGTCCTACACACGCAGTCGGCGGCGTCACCGTGGAGACGGTGAGGAGGACCGGCTTCATGAGGAGTACCGGCGGGCGCGGAAAACTCTGAAGCTGGCCATTAGCCGCGCCAAAGAGGAAAAGAGACAGGAGATGCTGGAGGGTCTTAATCGTGACCCCTGGGGTCGCCCTTACCGCGCGGTGCGACAAAAGCTCCGCGCGTCGGGCCCCCCCCTTACGGAGACTCTCCAGCCCAGCTTCCTGCGAGAAGTGGTTGAGGGCCTTTTCCCACAACGAGCGGAACACACTCCCCCGTCGATGGCCTCCCTGGCCGGAGACGACGGGGAGCACGGGGAGGACAATGTTCCGCCCGTCCGGGATTCGGAGGTAGGGGCGGCTGTTCTACGGATCCGTTCCAAGAACACCGCCCCTGGGCCAGACGGGGTACCGGCCCGAGTGCTGGCCCTGGCCCTCAACCACATGGCAGACCGCCTCGGGGAGGTGTTCGACGCTAGCTTGGCGTCGGGACGCTTCCCTGAGTGCTGGAAAAGCGGGAAGCTGGTCCTATTGAGGAAGCCGGGACGGCCAGCCGATTCGGTCGCGGCCTATAGGCCCATCGTGCTGCTGGACGAGGCGGGCAAATTGTTTGAGAGGGTTCTTTCTGCCCGCATCGTCCGGCACCTCTGCGAGGTGGGCCCCGATCTGTCGGACGCCCAGTTTGGTTTTCGAGCGGGGCGTTCGACAGTCGACGCCGTGTTGCGCCTGAGGGCCGTGACCGAAGAGGCCGTGAGCTGTGGCGGCGTGCTGTTGGCGGTGTCATTGGACATCGCCAACGCATTCAATAGTCTGCCATTCAGCTGCATCAGG